AGCAATACAAAAATATCATTCACAATAGCGAATGTGACTAGGTTAAGTGTGAATGGGTAGCACATGGTGGTTAATTAATGCCCAGTTAATTACTTTGTGGGGCGGCATAATTTGAAAACGAATATGTTTCTTTTCTTGGCTAGCCATTTGGTTCAATCACTTTGTCGTTGGCTTGGCTTTCTATGACCATAAACCGAAAATCACGCAGATATAATAACTTTCCGAATATAGCAAAAAACCGTGCATATACATATAAGAGGGGGGGGGGGGGGGAATGACAGTGGCATAAGGGAATGGAATACTTGAACCATAACACAAGGTCTAATTTTGCTATTTTTAACAAGACCCTATCATTTTTGTTGAAGCTTTTCGGCGTAAATTAACATCGTAAATGGCTTCCTAAATTTATTCATTTTCCTTTTGAATCATACTTCTATAAGAAAAGAGGAGGAAAGAAATAAGAGATAGTAAAGTGGTTTTTGATTTGTTTTCTTTTCTCGTTTAAGGTAATATTTTTTTATTAATAACTATAATTTATTATTTTGTTTTTCTTTTTTGGTTTTAAGATTTTAGAAAAACAAATGACTATTTTTCATAAAATCCTAAAAGTATCAATTATATATATATATTAGTTGCTGATCTAGGTAATATCTATATCTTGAAGATTAATGTTGTTTTAATGCAAGTGTGTAGAGCAATGGAGGTGGAAGAGTACGTTTAGAACCATTCTAACGCTAAAATTAATATTTATACCAACAGGGTAACAACAATAGAATATTGTGGGTACATGGTGCAATGACATTAGTTCTTTTTAAAGGGTTCGAGTGTTGTAATACACAACATACCACATGATTTCATATAGCTTGACATAACCATTGAAGGTTTGAAACCCGTAGCGTGAGAGATATCATGCTATCAATTGTAAGTGATAATGTTGAAGGTCTCGGATAAAACATCCGATCCAATAATATATGAGGTTGTTGGTGGTCATCAGGTTCTAATTAACTTTAGAAAAAGACTTTTTTTTTGCTATTAAGAAAAAGACATTTTTGGACTAACTCATAATAAGTATAAATATATCTAAATTTAAAAAAATTCAAACATCCTCTTTATCCCCTTTTTTATCAATTTAAAAATGTAGCAACAAAAACGAAGTGTAATAAACCAAATGCACATAAGATCTGCCAAAAGGAGCGAATTAGGCTACCTAGTGACCTAAGCTCCTCCCTCAAATAAGCGTGTCTTCATCGGGTAGAAAAAGTTGAAACGACATTCATGTTCACTTGTTAAATGCATACATAACTAGACCGGAAGAAATTAAAAGAATATAATGTCATTCAAGCTTTCAATTCGATTTCTATCTTTTCCATGGTGTAACAGATATTGTCACAAAAACAGCTCAAATCATCACACTTCAAATCATGCAATTGTGTTAGCTTGTATAGATACATTGCAACAAATGGGCATTCTAATTTCATTGCAATGAAGAGAGATGAGGTGAACGATGATGGGATTGATGATTGATCGCCATTGTGCTCCCATCTGATCGATCATCATAGAATGTATGTAATAAAAGGTCAAGATGAATCCTCTAATTTTCAGGTTTTGGCTTTGAGTTAGACCTTTGATCTACCACCCCATATCATAAATCGCATCATTAGTAGCGGTTAAGTATTTGATTGGCTACCTAATGAGTGATGTAAAGCAATTTTTAGCCGAGTGGTTCAGATTAAATAATTGTCTTTTCAAACTAGCGGTAATTTGATCCAAAAGAAGATCCCTGTACACTATTTGACATAAATCCAATGTTGTCGATGCGCAAAACTTTGATCTTGCCATGGCATGCAATTATATAAATATCGTTGTCAACAGTTTCACCCATTTGTATTATTTCTTTCTGATCGTGACAGGCAAAGCTTACATACAAAGCATACATAAATCGATTGAATTGAGCTTCACCATTGAATAGCACACACATATTGATTCATTTGGAAGCTTTGAACCATAACTTGATGTTGACCATATGGGAATTACCTGTAGATAATGGCCACATAAACAATAATTACGTCAAGTTTACTATATATATATATATATATATATATATATAATTAAAGCTTCCTCGCAAAACCACCATTCCCGTATGCATAAGAATAATAATAAATGAGGAAGATTGCTCATGCCCTTAATAAAAATTTCTTTTTCTGTTCAAAAAAAGAAATATTTCTCATGCAAGTTATACATACTCATCAACAAATGACGGTAAACATCAAGAGGCTTAAAAAGCAAGATGATCGTGTTTATGACTGTATCAATCTACATATATAGCTGTAAAGTACATCGTCATCTTCAAGAACTTGCCTCAATTAAATTTTACTATTATAAAAAGGAAAGAGAGGATGAGTATTTAAGAAAAAAAAAACCTCTAATTAATATAACTTGGACTTTTTGGAACTAAATAATAATAATTTAGAAGAAGAACAATTAGTATCATCATTGTGGAGTTTTTATGTAAATGTTCTAAAAAACTCTTCCTCCGTGCTTACGTGCTTTTAAATGTTAGAGAGCACATGGTGAGGTCTTTGTTGCAGCCGCTTCCGAATATTCTTTATTAACTGAATGGTCAGCACGGAGGTATGAGATGAAAATAATTGTTAAATCTATCCATCTAATTTTTGTTTCTTATTTTTAAATAGTTTTGATATATTATATAGTTACAAGAAGCCTGCATATATACCTTTCGTGGTTCAGTGTTCTGATTTTCTTCTATGCTGGAGTAGGTATCGTATTACTAAACAATAAAGTAACTATATTAATCATTAGCACATTTCTCAGAATAAATATTGATTGTTTGCCTTGAGTTTGTCATCAATTCAGAAATATATGATGCAAGAGTTCCTAAAGAGACTAATGTTCCGGGGAATCAGACAACATATAGGATATAACATTCATGTATTGTGAGAACTCTCTCTCTCTCTTAAACGTGTATATATATATATATACATCTTTTTGTTAGGGGCGTATATTTTTTATTTTAACAATATATCTTTCTACTTGTATAACCTTTCTGAATGTTGTAAATGCAAGGGGTATTCCTTAATCCGTATGCAAAATCACATCAAGATCTAAAGCAACAAGGAGATTACAGTAGCCTGCATATATACGAATCACAAAAGAATGTTTTGTACAACATACCCATAAGTAATCGCCTGTTATCAACATTTTAGCAACATAAAATTTATAAGTTACAAAAGTTATTATATTACACTGATAAGGAGGAAATCACATATAGATAATATCATCATATACAACAATTAATTATACCTTCACTTTGAGTGTGAGGTGGGTGGAGAGAACAAAGAAACAAAAAGAAAGGAAAAGAAAAAGTAATAAATGTGATTGATGGTCTGTGATATATATATATATATATATATATATATATATATATAAAATTTGTTTTGAGGAAAACGTTTAATTAAGTATTTATTAAATAATTTTTTATTGCATAAATATTTGTATTATAAATTGAATTATGAAATTTATTAAAATAAGTTTACAAGACTTTATTTTAATAAGTTATACTAATAATTTTATTAAAACAAATTATTTAAAAAATTGTAAACTATTTTCACAAACTTAAGAAAGTTTTCTATAATTTCTTCCAAACTACTCTCACAAGCAAGATTTAAACAAATCCGCCAAAGTGATCTTTCCAAACTGTGTTTCCATGTAACATAATGGGTAACCTTAAAATCTTCAAACAAGAATATTATCAGAATTTATATGATGCAACTTAAAATTCTCATAAGCGCGTACAAGTAATTAAGTTGTTACAACTAAAAGTGCCACAAAATAAAACGTTTCTTTGCAGGCTACTGATTTTACATACTAGAAAGGATCTACTCACTTCCACATATAAATGTGTATTTACTTAATTATCAAAAGCAGACATGTATGACACTGGTTACAAGCCTGGATCTTGCAGTTTAAAGCTATTCATCAGAAAGATTAGTACTAATGGGTAGCCATTCTCTCAACTATATGAGAAGAGAGTAAACAATTTCAAGAGTTAATTAGTAAATTTTGTTTGTCCTATAATAACTTACAGAAATAAAATACTAACAACACATTTATATATTTTCTCTAAAGACCAAAATAACATTACCAGTTGAACTTTAATTGATTGTTAATAATCACAAAAACAAGCATTTTGATCCTTACTTCGTGCAGATGTAGACATGTTGATGGCTCGTTGAATTTCATTAATATTTTACCAGTATATTACTCTCTCTCTTTCTTTGTATGTGAGTATAATATTTTGATTAGCCTATGTAACTTATGTTTCAATGGTATATCATTTATATTGACAATTGTATTTTTCTTCTTCAATGAAAAAGTTGCAGAAAATTATAAAAAAAACATTTTTGAAGTAGCGCATTGTTGTTCGAGAATATGTAACATTATATAATTATATGAATTTATTCATTACATTTTTAATATTTTTTTTTCACAATTCTTTCTCTTATATATATTTTGTATATCCACTATTTGATTTTATATTCCTTTCTTCCTTTCACTTCACATTGCCCACTTTTCACCTACAACCATTATCAACAACAGCATGAAAAATGCTGTTCTTCTCTTCTGCATTAATTTGTAGAAATTTACATTTAGTTAATTAATCTAAAATTTATACCAATCAAATGTTTTCCGAACTTTGTCATTTACCTCCTTAATTATTATTTTAACTGTCCTTATTGCTAGTTTAGAGCATAGTTTCCTTGGAGAATGCCAAAACACTACTTAAGATTCTACTTTCATGAATAAATTAACAAAACACAAATTATGGAGTCAATTTATGAGCATGTTAACAATGATTGGTATAATACATATTATATGTCACTGATCATGCTATGTATACAGAAGGGTAACCTGAACAGTCAAGCTACAAAGAAGAACACAAAGAGGAGGAGACAAGTAGTGATTGTAGACAAAAGTCTGAATCATCCATAATAATTAACCAACATGGACAAAGGAACAAGACAGAGCCCCCTTTTCTTCAGGTCTGTGGGGCACTCCACATTGTTTCCATTAAAATTCATGTCACACTCAACATCTGTCTGCACCTTCTCTGATTTGAACTTACCCTGCACAATCATCATAAACCACAGAACTTGGTAAGGATAGAGACCCAGAATTATTTTTTCATCTGATACAGAAACATTATAAAATTAGCAGGGTTACCCTAGAAGTAGAACCATCTAGTTGATCATCAATCTTCCTGGAAACCATTCCAGCTGGATTAAAATCTCCTACCTGCACATAACAAGGATTGTAAAAAAAGAGGACAAAAGAAGTCCATTATGAATGATGAAAAGGCAAAGAAAAAAAATCAGACTAAATATTATATGCATTTATTATATTAATATATACCTTGGGACTATTGAGAGGGGAGCTAGCAGTGTCTTCCAAAGGGTCATCTTGTGATATCTGTTTGGTTCTTGTTTTCTTGAAACACAATTTCTTAGAGAGATTTGATGGGTCCCTAACTCTAATAGAAGAGCATGAAACAAGGTGATCCTGATGTGAGAGATTCCATGCAGCACAAGAAGCAGCATCTGAGACCAAAGAAGAGCCACCCAAACTTGAACACTGACTTTGCTGTTCCACAATGCCTTTTGAGAAATCTTCAAAGTAAGAAGTCCAACCGCTTTCCTCAGACACAGTTTTTCCCATAGAAGGATTCAGAGAATGCTCCATCAAGAGAGAGAGAGTGTTTTGTTTGTCAAAGGTTAAAGAGTCTTATTTTTAGAGGGGTGTGTATATATATATATATTTATAAGGCAAAAATGATGAGTAAGAGAATGGAGAAAAAGGGTAGCCATGATGTAGAATCTTAAGGTGGGCCATGACCACAATGAAGCAGTTAAATTAACTGTTGGTGTGAGGGTGCAACAGAAAAACAAGGGAGACAAGTAGAGAACGTGCAACGAAATAAATAATATGTAGACTCGGAAGGGGGTTGACCTTTGTGCTTCATATGAGATTTCATTTGGGAATTGGAGGCCATTTTCCTTATCATATCTCAACTTTCAACCGAATACATTTAATGAGAACGGGAAAACCAAGTATAAAAATTGGACTACATCTGCAATGCATAGCAGACTCACTCTGCCTCAACACATTCAATTTTAGGTCCGTAGCAGCTGGCCTTTGCCTGGAGAAATTCAAGCTTCTGACTTGTGAGGTCAAAATTTAATCCTAACTTGGAATACATGGTGTGAAACTGACAAAATTTAAGTATACAATTGTAAATATTTTAGGTTTTATTTTTTCTAATTAAAATTTAAGATTTATCCAAGTGTTTCTTACAACAAAAGTTAGTATTAAAAGTATATGTGAGCAAGCTTCAATTATATTTTTATCATGTCAATACAGAATTGCGTTGTATGTGAGAGAGAGTGAACTTTAAAAATATGTTAAAAATCATATAAATGTAAATTTAATGCAGAAGTTATATTTAATAAATATAAATTCATAATCATTCGAATATGAATCAAAATAACATTAATTGTAACCGGTTTTGTTGTATGAATAAACTACATTCTTCTCTCCAAAAGATACACATATTACATTATTCTTTCTTTTATTTTTAAATATTATAACATTCTCTCTTAAAAAAAATAAATTGTATCACAATTTAATCTATCTTATTTTTTTAAAACATTATTAAATATTTGTTTGATATTTTTTCGTTATATATTATGAATTAATCCTTTATCATTAAATATATGTGTTAATATCAAATAATGAAAAAAAATTCACTCTTGATGAAAGGGTAAAAGTGTAGATAGCTTGCAGCTTCAATATTTTCAAAGAGAAAAATATAGCTTGAAAGTATTTAGAGAATTAAGGTATAAAAAAAGTACATTATGAATAAAAGATAAATTGATACATTTAATTTATATTTACACACGCTTATATTACACAAAAAAAATTTAAATCTATAAAAAATATTTTTAATAATATAAAATTGAATAGACTAAATAAAATATTTTATAATAAAAAAAGAAAAATATAACATTTATATTACATGAAATAAAGAAATGCATTTTACTCTTATTGTATATTAGCATATGATAGTTTTAATCCTATTTTTATTGGTAATGATCATTCACTTTCTATTTTTTCCACAAGCACTTGCACTTCTTGTTACTCTCTCATACTTTACATTTACATACTTCTAGTCACAAGCACTCTTTCAAAAATTAAAAGTAAAATCAGTTTTCTTTTTTAATTTGTACAACATTTCACTGCATTATATATATATATATAATTTTATCAAAAATTACAACATTTAGTAATATTTTTATTCATGTATTAAATTTTGATTCATTAACCTTTAGTAGTATCAATATATCTAATTACATTAAATTTTATATTTTTTATTAAAGATTATAAATAACTTTTTCTCTCTGCAATGTTGCACAGATTTAAAAAAAATAAAAATTTATATCATATTTATGGCCGATGTTTTGTCGTTTTTTTTGTCAGACATTTATGACTGTTATTGAAATCTGTAATGTCAGGGCCTTTTAAGCAGTTCGGCCAAAGGTTTTTCGGGCTGGTTTTTTCTCCGATTCCATTCAGTTATCCCACACCCATATGGAGTCTGAGGTCGATTAAAAATATTCGACATATACCATCTGGGATCCTGTGGTTGAATTGGGAAGCGTTTTCCAAGATAATGCATTTATTTCTTGACAAAAAATAAATAATTTATTTATTCGTGTAAATATTTTTAATATATATATATTTAATAGCTTAATACATGATTTTAAGTTTAAATTCTAATAAATAGAATTACATTAAATATTTAGAAAAAAATGTTATTTATTATATTCTTATTCATCTCAAACAAAATTACTCAAGAGAAAAATATATATAGTTTATGAAAAAAATGTATACATTTAATTATTTAATACTTTGTAATGAATTATTAAAATGATATGTACGAAAAGATAATAAAGTTAATGTCATTATACATTTATATTTAATGAAATATGATAACCTAATTCTCAAATGATTTTCCAAGAGAAAGTAAATTATGACAACTAAAAATTGATATTTTTACAAATATTTTTTCTAAGAGAAAATTCATGGCTTAAACTAGGTCTATTCAAATTCAATTTAAATAAAAAACCGAACCTAAACTAAAATGAATTAAATTATAGTCAATTTTTTGAATTGAAGTATTTTATAAGTTTATAAACCAGTTTAGTTATTTAAGAAGTTTTTCAGCTCAGAACTGGTTTGACAGTTTGGAATCAGTTCCAAGTAGTGGCATATTGCTTGATTCATATTGTTGTTAGATAAACAAGCAGCTGAATAATTCAGTCATCAACATGATTTAAAATGTGATATCTATAAGTTTTATGTATTTGTCTTTGTGTTTGCATAGCATTTAGAATGATTTTTGTCTTCTACATAATGATTAGAGTGGTTTAAAAGGTTAATACTTAGTACATTCAAACAAATTTTCACATAAAATAGCACTGTTCAATTTTTGTTCAAGCTAAAATACTACCATTCAAACAAAAATATCATAATTTTTTTTAAAAAATTATATGAATTTTTCACAAGCAAAAATTCTCTCGCTTAAATGAGTTTTTCATACATTACAACAATAGTAAATCTATTTTACTTATTCTTATGCATTATAATAATGGTGAATTTATTTTATTTATTCTTGTGTATTAAAACAATGGTGAATATAATATGAACTATTACATTACAGTGAATCTGGTACAAACTAAGTACAGGAATTATGTAATACATACCTATTCTATTGGAATAATTTAGTGCAAACTGAAAATCAGATAAATTAGCAAAGAAAAAACCGAAAGAAAGGAAAGAATTTGGTAGTGTAATTAGGTTTTGTTTGAATTCGGATTCAATTTCTTCAATTCGGTTTGATTTTTTATTTTAACAAATAGTTCAGTTCGATTCAATGATTCAATTCAATTTTAGCCGATTCTTGAACATCCAAAGAATAAATGCTACTTTATGTGTAAGTAAAAAATTCGAATCACACAGTAAAATGTGTACAAATGCCCTGCTACAAAGTAGAATTTTTTAATTATTTGTTTAAAGTAAATTTTGCAGCATATAACAGCAGGGCGTAAGCATGTGCTTGTCTAATAGCATTCCAAACATAAAATGGGAGCGCACTGGGAGTTTTAATGCACAGAAAAAATATTAAATGAGATATAAGGATTTAATATACTGGGAATTAAATTTTATTTTATACTTTTTTTAATAATTAGGATATTTGTTAACAAAGTGTATTAGGAAGACATAGAATTGTTCTTTTTATATCCTATTCGAGAATATTTGCAGTAAATTATGTGTTGCAATATTCCATATATCATATGTCATTGAGTGGATCACCACCGCTAGAGGTGCCACATTTGTATGCTAAAATAACGATATGATCGACTGTAGATATGGAGGTGTAACAATCTGAGAAACCATATAGAAGTGACGTTTTTGAAAGATAGCGGTGAAACTCCAGAAGGCGAGCAAAGGACAACAAATGTAGGGAGGGCGATAAACGTTCAACAGAAATAGATACAGTCCAAATGTCTAAGCAGGCAGTAGCTCAACGGCATCAAAGTTCTAGTGACCGTACTTCTGAAACTCCCACTCACTGTTATCTACACCAGCAGAGAAACGCCAAGTCAGTGAGAAGAGCATTAATAAATCCATTGAGTCCACACAGAAAAAGAGAAGTGAAAAAGGAACCTGGCCTACATACCTAGGGGACATACTTGACGGGTCTTGAGCCATCGGCTTATGCAATGGAAGTGAAAAGCATGGTTACAAACCCCTGTAATTGAATAAGATATCAGCAAAGCAAGCAACAATTTTAGTAATACTGCTGCTGTTAAGCCAAAATACAACAACTAGAGAAGCTACGCAATGAGAGAATGACCTATAAACTATTTTTTAAAAATCCTGCTTCACGAATGCATTCAACATAGATTTTTACCCGATGTTGCTCTGTGCCTGGGCACAGGTACAAGTATTCAACATAATTTGCAAAAGTGATAGTATTTCAAAAAATTAACAGTACAGCAATATACATCGAATAAAAAATATATTTATGTATAATAAATAAATAAACAATTATCCAGATGTGGGTATCCTATCAGAATTCACAATCAAAGTCAAATGATTTCCCTGTCTCTCTTGTAACTTTATCACACCCTTATTGTCTGCTCTATCCCACTCAGACACTGGTGCCCTCTCTACTTTGTCACTTCCCTCGGCCTACCATGAAAGATTGCCATAACAATTCACAATAGCTCATATAGTGAGGATGAACATGTGTTTTGTATGATTATTTTAAGGATGGCAAGATTAAAAGTGTAACTATATGCCTTGAGGGTTATTAGGTGATAATGAGACTCAAATGTGCATTATGGGTTATTTGGCTAACATTATTTACCAGTTACTACTTAAGCTGTGGGCAACACCCCCTCCCGCCCCAAACAAAACCAAAAAAATAGGAAATGTGATAAATATTCCCCAATTGCTAAGGTTCAAGCAAGAAGAGATAAGTGGAAGGCTATTTGGTTAAAGGCCCAAATGAGGGGCAGGCTCCAGTGAAACTTGCCTGTATAAATGGCAGCAGGGCAGGCTATTAACTCTACTGTTTAAACTCGTAAGATTATCAACGATATAACGTTTCCTAGGAGAAGTGTTCAACCCATTTCCTACTGAGTCTTAGTTATGGATGGGCCATTTTGCACTCCTTTGAGAGCAAAATTCAATTTCACTTTAGCAGGGGTGTCATTTTACAATAAGATCTATGCCTTATCAAACAATCCCAAAACCATATGAATTTAAGGTGGTGTCAGCATCATAAAGGTTAAGCTGCCAGATAAAAAGAAAGCATTAACAGGGTGAAAAATATGCCTCCACATCCACAGTATGCTTAAGGAGCTGACTCTTCATCAGCTGAAGAGTTCAATCGAAAATAAAAGGAAGAGGAGGGAGGTGCTGAGAATCCTGACTAAGATGAGAGGAAAACAAAGAAACGAGGAAAGACAGACCAACTCAGCAAAGCTTACATCAGTGCATAAAGGCAACTTGCACCTTTGGCCTCACTGAAGGAGAACAAACAGACGCGCGCACAGCACACATAGAGGAGGATCAAAACATAATTTTTATTAAGCCGAATGGTTCCTCAGACAATCATCTATACTCAAGTCCCCTTCATTTCTAAATAATCCTAAAGCTTTTATCACTGACACTCTTCACAGATATATGAACCCAAAATGAGAACTGAAAACTTTCTACAACAGCATTTCACACAAAATCATCAATTAATAGGAATCAAGGGAATGATGGTGTATCAATATTGACAGAATAATTGTAGGGTTTTGAAGCATACCCCAAGCTACAGTGCATTCCTCGCTAGTGGCGCTAGCCTGGTTGGCCTGGCACTCAATGCCTAAAGCAGTGGTCAAACTCAAATTGAATTAGGGTTTTCGTCTTCAAACAACAATAATTCACTCCCAAAAACGAAAATTGAATTAACACGCTTACAGAGATCCATGATATGGTTCCGACAGATAGCGCAATTATCCACAACGATGTCTGCATGGAAACAAAAAGGAAAACAAAATTAGAAGAAGGAAAAGGAAAATAGGGTTTGGGAGAGTGTGTTAAGAAAAAGAGAGAGAAGCACCCCAAGCCCAGAGAGCGACGGCATTCCACTTTTTTATCTCGAAGCGCTTGGGCTTCTTGTTGGAAGAAGAAGGACCGGCGCTGCCTGAGGGCTCGCCGGCCGGAACCATCGTCACGTCGGAATCCAGAGTCGCCATGCCTTGCAACGTTCTCACCTCGTGTCCAACCAAGTAGTGTTATTGTTTATTCCTTCATTTTTGTATATTGGGCTTTATAGTTTTGGGCCTTCGTAGTTATCAAACCAAGTATCATACTTTTTACGTTTTTGTATTGTTATACATTATAAATAGAATAATAAAGCAAATTGTTTTTCTAGTCCTTTTAATTTTATTTTGTATAATTTTGTATTTTTAATTTCTTAAACTAATTGAATTTTTATATTTTTAAATTTTACAAATTTAATCCCTTCATTAATTTTCTTCTACTTGGAACGTTCAAACTCATTTTTTTAGTCAGTAAGTTAATCAATTGAATTAGTTAAATTGTTTCAAAAAAATTTCTTCGTCAAAGTACACTCAACCAAACATAAATTTTTATCCTGAGCTGAGTCAGTTGGTAAATATGAGAAGAATCAAATGCTCAATCTCCACTAAGTATACTCATGAAAGAGGTGAAGAGCATTATTGTGTATAAACTGAGTCTAAAATAATTAGCACTAATATGGTGACCAGATATCCAATGCTATAAATAAAAAAATATTAAATTTCAATTAAAATATAAAAAGATTCATTTTTTTCTTTTTCTAATCCTAATCTAACATTAAAAAACAAAATTTCTTGATTTTTCTATTTTTTGAAAGTAAGAAAGACTTATTTAACTAAAAGAACTATAAAAATCAAATTCACAAATTCATCAAACTAAAGAAAAATAATATAATTAAGCCTAATCATAAATGCGACTACGAGGAACTGGTATATTTTATTAATATCCATGTTTTAAGGTTAAGAAAAATATATATACAAAAATACATTTATTATTGTTATGCAGTATCTATTTAATCCATCGATATTTTTAAGTGGAAACCATTTCGGTGATTGCAGCACTCCAACAACTTTGTCTAGCTTTATTCATTTTCTATTTTTCATTTTGAAATTTTACACAATATTATTTACCTTGGAATAAATAATTAAATATTTTTTTTTAAAATTATGTTTGTGATATGAAAGAAGGTTTTATTAACCAATATTAAGCTTTAATAACCAATAGGTTTCACAATAGTATGTTTGTGATATCATTTTCAAAGCACTTGTTAAAAATCAATAAATTAAATACTATTTTAAATGCATTAAAATTTATAAAAGTAAGTATATTTCTATGATTTTCAATAAAATATTATTATTTTTAATTTTGGACACTGGTTGGTATTTCTTAAATATTATTTCGTATAATTCATTTTAGTATTAAATATATTTGATATTTTTAAGATAACAAATATATATACTTTTTCATTTAATAAATATTTTATAAAATAACAGGAGAATAAATATATAAGAGGATCTACCAAACCTCATTATCAAAGAATGATTCTAAATTTCAAAATTATCGTGCCTTTTATTCTTAAAGAATTTCTAATTACTAAATAAAAAAATGATAAATAAATTTGATATTTTTAAGATAATAATCCATAAACTTTTTTGTTTAAAATATACTTTATAAAATAATAAGAGATATTAAGAAAATAAGTAGAACAATGCAGCAAATATATAAGAGAAATTGGGAATTGAGATGTAATTGTAATATAGTAGAAAGATTTGAATGTCATATATTAGTATTTATTTTATAAAATAAAAAAGAATAATTGGGAAATATATAAGAGAAAAGGGTAAAAGTCATAATAATATGTTGTGCTTTGTATTGTTACACCAAATTCATTTATTGTAGGGAAATGAAATGGCTGAAATCCCTTCCTCAATTAAATCTTTCTGAGAGGTCAGCAATACAAGCATCCTGCCAATGTCGAGACAGAAGAAAGAAGACTTAAATTTCATAATCGACCTTCTACCAACGATACCTATTTCAATAATAAAAGCATTTAAAGAAGTGTATACATTTAACATTAAAGATCATAACAATTAATATTCATATTTATTGCAAAGTTTCTTAGTTACATTTAAGAAACTTTCCATTGCGTAGGCAATCATCGCCGTACGTATAGACTTGTGTTTTTTTAATTTGTACACAACATTTATTAAAAGAATTATATTAATTAGTCTTACAACTATTAATTAAGAAATAACATTTTTATTTGAAATTTCAGGTCAAATTATATCTTTTAGAAATTTTGAATGAAATCCCTAAAAAAATATTAGAGACATACACTTTAATCCTTGGAAAGTAAGTAACTATTTTAGTTTTCATAATTAATGGATAAAAATATTAAAATATTCTATAATTATAAATTTGATGGATTATTAAGTACTTTCAAGAATTAAATTAAATATTTACTTTAACAATATTTATTTTTTAATTATTTAATCAATGCATGTTTCTATAATTTTTTTGAGTATTCAAAAAATTTTACCAGTGTGATTCATGTAACTTAAAATTTTAATAACATATAATACCTCATTTAATAACAAAATTTATATTTCTTAATAATTTTTTATATAGTATAATTTCTATAATTTAGTTGTTGATTGAAATTTTTTATAAAATAAGTTTGTAAAAATTTATATAAAATAAAATTAATGAATATTTTATTACATTACTTTGTATTAATGTTAATATGTTATTAAATATAAGTAAATATCAATTGTTAGATAATATATTTACAAATGTTTAAATTACGTGAAATTATCTCTGTGTCTCATAATTAGTGATTAAGACTTATTGACTTAGTAAATATTAAATACTTGTATTATTTAAAAAAAATTTAATAAAGGTAAGATTTAACGATTCTTGCGATCATATGTAGGCAACATATTTAATAAAAAAACATTTTTCATATGAAAGTGAAATAAATCTTAGTTTTTAGATCTTACTATAAACGATTAATATTAAAACATACAAGTCATTGAAAGTATTATATAATCACTTAAAAAAAATCCTGTGTATGTTTAAATTAAGTATTCATTTTATAATTTTTATTATATAAAATTTGTGTCATATATTTTATTTCAAAAATTGCTAAAATGAACTAAAAAATTTACAATTTTTTTTAAAAAAATAACATTTTCCGTATTAACAAGTTCAAACGTTCATAATGCAAAATTTTTCAAGCGAGGGGGAACTGCGAACTAAATTAATTTTAGACTTTTAAACCTAAAAAGACATTGTGAGATTTTAATAAAATCGTTATTTAGTACATTACTGATGGACTGGTATGAGATTTTACCTCTAATTTTACACGAAAATCAGATATACTTGAGCTTAAAAAATCACTTACTAGAGGAACTAAAATTATTATTTTTTTACGCAGATTAAATAAAGAATATCTAACTTAAACACCACTCGTCGATTTCAAAACTTAAATGAAGAGAATGTATATTTTGCTAAATGAGTTGAGCGTAATTAATTAGCTAAATTTGTACATTGTCAAGTCAAATCTGAATTAAGTATATGACTCTACTAATCAATCCCCCACCCCCGATTGAATTAAATGTGGCTTAAGGTCGGAAGAGGGAACTCTACAAGCCATATACTAGTACTCACTATTCACAATAATGTTACTATTTAAACAATTGATTCATTAATTTGAATTGATGTACTTAAAATGATTGCCATCATCCACTGAACCCTCTGACAACTTATTCATATTTTACTCACCGGTGAATTTTCCAATTTCTAAAGGTCTATGCCGCTAAGTTCATGTTAGCCACTTAGCTAGAGTTGCGGACACATCATAGTAGAAAAAAGCTTGATTCTTACAAATATTTTCCTTTTCTATTTTCTTTTTATCTTAGTAAAGCTATTTCTACAAGCACCTAATTAATTATTAGATGGTGATTTAGATTATTAATTTTAAAATATTTTTTTTTATTATGTGACGGTAGCTATTCATCATAGTGTTTAATAATTAAAATTTATTTTGTTTATTCTAGTAAATTGTTTTATTTGATATGAGTATATGTAACGATGAAATGACAATAAATAACAAATTTAATAAAATAACATTCTTAATGTAATAATTAATTATAGTGATATTATTATGAAATGTCATCCATTAAAATATAATAAAGCGTTAAAATATAAATTAATTTTTAAATTTTATAAACCTAATATAGTTTATAAGAATATATGTGAATTTTTATTGCAAAGTTACATGCGATAAAAAGTTAAGTATAGTAAGTTTTTATTAAAAAATTATAATATTTATTAATATTGTATATTTTAATAAAAAAATACATAAATATTTTATATTTTTAATGTGAGAAAGTGACAATTTGAATGATTTGCGTGGGAAAAAAACACAAATAATAAATTTATAACTTTATTTTCATATAATTTGTTAAAATTATATCTATAATTAAGGAGTTTAAGTCATTGCGAGTGTTATGAGCTAGAGAGTGAAGCTAAAGATTATTGAGAAAAACGCTAATTCAAATAAAGTCCACAAATTAATAACATGTTCAATGTTATCAATACAAATTTTCAGTTCATACATTGATAGTCGTGCCGGAAATACTAAAGCGTACAAATTTATAGAAACACTTTTGCTGATTTGATGTCCAAATTATAATATTAACTAGTTCATGAAGAAAAATATTTTTTTTAAGTTTTTATTGGCGTTATAATATCCCAAAATCTACAGCTTGACTTTAATTTTATAGCAAGTTTTAAAAAGAGAAAAAAAAGGAGAAAGGGGAATTCATGAGTAGAATTGAGCATAGCCTATGTGAAGTGAATACTAAATTAGAGCACACCTATAAGTTATATACATATTTCGAAAAGCAAGAAAACAATACCGACACAAATAAAGTATAACAATAATAATTAAATAATTCAAAGCAAAATTAGCCGACATAATGAGCCCAGATCGTAATGACCTCGCATAATGCACGGTTACATCGCCCCCTATTGAAATAATGAATTATGAATAGGATGCTAGCAATAATGTGTGACATTTTTACCATTCCACAATATCTCAATTCTCAAGCTAAGTTTTGTCAATATATAACAGAACACATTGACGTTGTTTTGCCATAAATAGTTATAATCAAT